CTGGTGTTGTGGTGCAGTCTTCTTTTGTCCATCGCAGTGCTGGCTCGCGGCGCGGGGGCGTTGTGACTATCTTCCCGCCGTGTGTGAGCTGGCCTCAGATGCTTCAGCGTGACCCGCTCATTCCTGGCCGCGTTCTTCGCCTTCGTGTGCAGTTCGAACGTGTCACTCTCATCCACTACAACGTGTACAATCATGGATTTAATGCGGCTCAGACCAGGCTTGTTGCTCGAGAGCTTGATCAAGATCGCCGTGCAGCTGCCAGGAATCCTCATGAACTCTTCCTGGTGGTGGTCGGTGATTACAACTTTGCCCTTGTGGGCGACCTTCCCTTCCATCTCCCTCAAGCTGCAGTGCCGTCGGCTCATCTTCGTGCGCATGCATCGCTATGGCGTGGTGGGTCAGATCAGCCGGAGGAGATGCGAGTGGATTTCAGCACCCACTACCACGCGGTGGCGGACACCATGTCCTCGATTGACCAATGTTTCGTCCACTACTTGGGTGAATGCTTTGCCGACTCCATTTGCAGGCGGCTGTGCGTCTGTCCCTTGAAGGCCTACGCCAGCTAGATCAGCGATCACTCCGCCGTGACTTTCTTCATCTTGCCCAGAGCTTAGCGCGAGCCCCAGCGGCTACCGATGTTCAACCATGTTCTGGCCTCTTAGATTTTCAAGCAGACTGCGTTCGCGTACGAGCCGTCTTTGGATCTTTCCATGCATTCGCCCCCGATTGCGCTTGAAGAATACAAGCTGTTCCTGAGAGATATGGGCCGCTTGGCTCGTGATCAGTTGACGTTCTCTGACCCCGGGCACCCAGCGACGCTGCTGCAACTGGCGCGTTCGATCGCTTGCGTGGTCTGGCGCAATGATGCTGCACTTCCTGGGCGCCTCTTGCGCAGTTGCCCGATGGCCGAGGACTTTCTTCGCGTTGATCAGCGCTCGGTTTCATTATTCTCTGCAGATGAGTTCTGGGCGCGGTCGAACGAGGTCCACTGGGCGGCAGCTGAGAGGCGTCGACGCGGCATTGAGGCCAGTCTCGATGACCCGCGGCTTTTCCGGCGTCGCGAAAAACAGCGAGGTCGAATGACAGCAGGCTTGCGCGAGATGACGATCTTGTCTCCGAAAAGCAAGACTCTCTTTCCTCGTGGCGTTATTCTTGATGATGGCACAATTGTGCCCGATGCGCTTGGGATGCACCGAGCGAAGGCCCAGTGCCGGGCTTCCGCGTTCACGGCGAAGTCCCGCGAAGCGACTGCATCCAAGAGAGAGATAGATTGAACGGCTTGTTCCTTTGTGTGACCTGCGTGATTCTCGGCTTCCGACCTCGCAAGATGTCCGGCGTTCTCTGCGGCCTGTGCGTCTTGCGGCTCCTGGCGTCGAAGAGCTGCGCTATGCGGCGTGGTGGGCCCATGAAAGGGGTGCGCAGTGATGGCAGCTCGATGTTTCCCGCTGGCAAGCTCGACGGATACGTTGCAAGCGTTCATGCCGCAGGGGTTCATTTCATCCGATTCAAGTCCAGAGAGGTCCACTTCGCCCGATTCGAACCCTGAAGGCCGCCCGCGCAAGGCGTCGAACCTGCGCGCGCTGGGCCCCCGCAGCGCAGATGCGATGATCGCGGCGTCAGTGATCAATTTCTCGCTCAAGGAGACGGCCCCCGGAGTGGTGCCGCGGACCCGGCGAGGTGTGGTGGCAGAGCGTTCCTTCGTGACGAAGATCCATGAGCTTGATGCGGCTGCTCGCACTTGCAGTCTATAGGATATGGCAGCGGAGTGGCATCGTATACTTTTCTCTCTTGATGTGACGCAGGCGTTCCCGTCGTTGGCTCAGGGCATCATGCTTGACGTGCTCCGCCGACTTCAGCTTCCTGATCCCCTTCCTTGCCTTTCTTGGGGCGCACTGCCTTCTCATGCTCGGTTTCGCGGTGGCCAGTTGGAGCCTGGTTCTGTAATTCCCTCAAGCATCGCGCAGGGATGCCCGATGTCGGGGTCCCTCTGTGCTATTGCAACGACTCCATGTGCGCGAGTTCTGCTGAACCCTGTTGATTCTAAGCATCGTGGTATGGCGCGGTGGTGCGCTGATGACATCGGAGCTGCCTTGGATGCCATCAATTTCCTCAAGGTTGTCTCGAGAGATCTGAATATGGCTGAACGCGTGGCGTCGCCGCACCTCGAACCTGCGAATTTTTTTAAGCGACGTCTCTGCCGGGCGAGTTATCGGCCGACTTGAACATTGCAGCCCGGCGGCGCCTCGCTGCTGAAGTCCCTCCATGGCAAGACTTTCAAGTGCTGGAGGCTCTGAAGTAACTTGGACTGCGGCCTGGGCCCGCTGCCGATGATCGTCTACAGTCTCGTCAGCCCGTCCAGAAGGTCATTTATCGTGGGGGTGCCTCGGGTCCTAGCACGGCCCCTGCTCTTGCCATGGCATGCCGTTACTCCTCTCGGTGCATTTCTTGTCTCTCCTATACGGCTCAGCTGGTTTCGCAGCTGGGGCTTCTGGCCTCCGCGCCACGTCTTCCCCTCGGGGCTCTACAGCCAGCGCAGTTCCTGAGGCTCCGCGATTGGTGTGGACCTCGTATTGCGACGTGGCAATCTGCGGCGTCGGCAGCCTTCATTTTTCTCCTTGGATTGCCATTGGGGAATGTGTAGAGTCGCTTTATGCCGCGTTCGTGTCTGATGCTTCCGAGCATCTCCTTTCGATTTCTTCTGTGGGATTGCCGGGTGATGGCCGCGTGTTGGAGCTGCCCCTTAGATTTTGGAAGGCGCCTGGCTGTGAGGAAAGATTGCATGCTGTTCGCGCCTGTGTACCATGTTCTGGATTGATGAAGCCATCTCTTCATCATGCTGGGGGGAAAGCCACTGGGCGCATTATGGTGGATGCAGAGTTTTCCCGGGCGCGTGAGATCTGCAACGATGTGCGTATTCCTGATGATATATCGCAAGTTCAAGTGGCAAAGAGCGACCCATGCTCAGCTGGTGAACGCGTGGTCTTCCCCCTCCACGACGCCCTTGCGGGCGACTCGCCCACTTCGCAAATGGTGGCCTCAATGTGACATGCTAATGATGAGCGTTGATTGGGATGGGCTCAGAGTGCGCCTAGCTCGTTTACCTGCCTCGTGGCCTTGGCCCACTTTGAGGAGCTGGGGCAATTCCTGGACGACGTCGGGGCGGAGTCTTGGTTGTAGAAGCAGACGCAACTGCATTTTTGGATGTCTGCGTGAGAAAGATCGTGTGGAGCATTATCTTGATCGTCTTGTACTTTGGCGTGACCTTCGGCGTGCCCTTCGTATTCTATTGGCAGACCTCCCTGTCCAACGGCTTGACAGACTGGGGCTGCGCCCTCCGCACCACGATCGAGTCCTCGAGCTCCTCGTTATCCTGTGCGCGATCTGCCGCGCCGTCAGGCACTTCGACGTCGACGTCATTGGTTTCGGCGAGCTCGTTGAGCCTGCGCCCCCCGCGCCGCGGGCCCGCGGCCGCCGCCTCCCACCCCCGCCCGCGTTTGGTCAAGCTTTCGCGATTTCGCCGGCATTCGCGTGCACCGCGGCCCGCGCGCGCCCGCATCCATGCCCGCGCCCATCGGCGGGCTTCTCCTGCGCAGCCTGTGCGCGCCGTGCATTTCCACGTGCGTCTCCTCCCTTGGCCGGCGCGCTGCCCCCCCCCCGCCCCCCCCCCCCCCCCCCTCCCTGCCTGCCGGTCTAGCGGGCGGCGCGGGCGCGCAGTCCCGCCCGGGGGCCCGGGGCGGGGCAGCGCAGCCTGGCGCCCCTCCCCCCGCGCAGGGGGGCGTCGTGCACGGGCCAGGCCTGGCCAGCTGCAACTCGCTGGGAGCGGCGCGCGCGCGGGCGCAGGGCCGCGAGCTGCGCGAGGAGGCGCCCGCCCCTCCTGGCGGGCGACGCGGCGAGGGAGGAAGGTCGGCGGCTAGGGCCCCCGACTTCGCGCAGGCTGGCCCGTTCCATCCGGGCGCTTTTTCCCAGGGGAGGTCGGTGGCTGGGGCCCCCGACTTCGCGCGGATGTGTTCGCCCCTTGCGGGCGCTTTTTTTTCCTCCGTGGTCGCAGCTGCGCCGAAGGGCTCTTCCTCCGTGGCAGCGGGCTCTTGCTGCCGATCGAGATGTGGGAGGCGGGCGCGATGCCCGGCGCCGTCGGCTGCGGCGCCGGGATTTGCGCGCGCGAAAGGGGCAGCGCCAGCGGGCTTTGGCGGCGCTGCTGAGACTTATGCGGGGGGCCGCAGCGGCAGTGGCAGCGGGCGCTGGCGCTGCTGGGCGGGGCGTCATCAGCTGCGGCTCTGGGGTCGGCCAGTGGCCAGCGGCCGCCGTCTGCGATGGCTCCGACAGTCGCGGGCGGCATTACTCAGGATGCGAGGGGCCTGGGATAGCAGCAGCGTGCATTCTCATGTCTGCGGTCACCCTGCTCATCGGTGCCCGAAGCACATCGCTCGGAAGGCGCGCCTTGATTATCTGCTGCGTTATTGGCGGTGCTTCCCGATGCGCCAATTTAACAGCGAAGCAAGGCGGGAACAACGCGGACCAGGCGGCAGGAACATTGAGTAGGAGGGGGCGGATGAGGAGGATGCCCGTGGCCATTCTGGCTCAAGCCGTTTTGGCTCAAGATCAAACCGTGAGGCCTCGGCGGCTCGAGCTTGGACGCAGCCGCGCGGGGTCCGGGTCAAATCTGTCTGCCTTGCAGGGCCTTCTTCTCGACCGTCGCAGGGGCCTTCTTCTCGACCGTCGCAGGGGCCTGTTCTCTCGGGTCACACGTCCGCCAAAGGTCTCCTTGAGCGATGGGTGCCGGTGGCGCCCCGAGCCAGACGTCGACGGCCGCCGCCCTCGATGCCTTCCAGACGTTCCCTGACTCCCAGATGGCAGATGCTGAACCCTCTCAGGTGGCTTCTCCTACTCGTGGTCTGTGTGCCGCTCCTGGCGCCCATCTGTCTCCCCCAGGTGGCCATCGCGCCGGGCGCCTCGCTGGCCCCATGCCCGCCGGCGAACCCGCCGACTTCGAAGTGGCGCAGACCAGCCTCCAAGACTCCTTCGACGACTCGCGCGCGGAGCTGCTCGAGCACGTCATCCCCACCGCAAAGACGCCCAACGCAAGCCTGCAGGGGCTGGCTGGCAGAGTGAAATCTACATGCTCGCCCATTGTTGCACGGGTCGAGCGCCGCCTCGACGGCGTCGGGGCCGCGCGGCAGGGCCGCTCCAAGCAGTTGCTCTTCCTCCAGGAAGAGGTCAATAATCTCGAGCAGAAGCTCGCCATCGTCAGGGACACCCCCAACGAGCTGCCCATGGTCTCCCGAAGCGCTCGCTCGACTCGTCATTCCACGACGCCCTCGACGTCTCGATCATTGCTGTTCGTTGCAGGGGGCAGACGGCGAGGCTTCGAGCGCAGGGCGCTCTTCTTCCGCGGTCGGATCGCCTCGGCGCCGAGCGTGACGAGCGGGGGCTGCTGGGCGACCCCACGGAAAAGCGCTTCGCGGTCAAGTCCAAAGGCAGCTGGCAGTTCGCGGCGCGCCGTTTGCAGCATGCCCTCAGTCTTCTACGCCCGCGGCGCCCTGGCGAGGAGTGGATGCGGTTTTTCGCGCCTGCCGTCGCTGGTGCCCGCTCGTGGATGTCTGTCGGGTCGGGCAAACGCCCGCGCCAAGTAAGGCTCGTGCTCGCGCTCAAATTGGCCATTCCTTGCGAGTCGATTCCAGGGCAAGCGTTTTTTTTGTCGGTTGACAAGGTACGAGGCGCCTTTTTTTGTCAATTGGCGCCAGTTCGTGCAGATCGCCCCACGAGCTGACAGTGACGCGCCGCAGGTTCGCTGTGCAGAGGCGAACCTGGCCCTGCATAATATCTCGCGCTGAGCTCGACGAGCCGCTGACAGTCGCACTTCAGGGGGGCAATCAGACGCAATGGTCTCTTTGGCCTTGTCTTCGCTCTCTGGGACGTTGCCACCGCGGAGCGGCCGATGAGGGCTGGCTCGTAGAATTCGGACGCCCTCTTGTACCATCGGACCATGGCGCGCGCTGCTGCGTTCAAGCATCTCAGACGCCTGCTCCGCCCTGGGGCAATCGTGGCCGCGCAGGAAGTCCACGGGCCGGTTGCAGACGTGCAAGAGTTGTGGCGTCATAATAATGCCCCTCTCTCTTGTTCCCATTCATATCACCCTGCAGCGCGCGGAGCTGATGGCCTTGCAAGGCCACGCCCCGCAGGCAGCGTCGTCGCTGTCTTTCCGAAGTTTAGCCCCGGCAGCGAGCGAGAGCGAAGATTTGGCAGCGCGTCTCCTCTCATCTCATTTGTTTGTTTTTTGTTTTTGTTTTTTTTGTTCTCTCTCTCTCTCTCTGGTTCATGGCCGAGTACTGGGCGCAGATATCGCGTCTCAATGCGGACCCATGTGGATAGCGCGTTGTAGCGCTCACAATTGCAGTTTTTCTCGTGCTCAACGTCGTCACGTATGCCAGTGCATCTCGAATGATCTGATCGACGCAGGTCGAGATCCGCAAAGTAAGTTGGTTATCATTGTTTGGGGCTTTAACTTCGACCTGCAGCCGCCCGTGCCACTCAACCCCAGTGACGAGCAGCTCGACGCGCCGCTGCCGCCGTTGATCCCTGGCGCCCCCGAGTGGCGTCAGATCTGGCGCAGGATGGTCGAGTTTCAGCTAGAATCGCCGACCCGCTATCATGCGGCGGTGAAGCATCTATCGTATATCGACCGTCTATGTTGCTCTGCTCCAGGTTGGGTCTTATCTCGTGCGGTGACGGGTGGGGAGGTGGTGGGAATTCCTGAACAGCTCCTAGCGAAACACATCTCGGGCCACGCTGCGGTTTGCGCGACCCTAGTTGCTCGCCGTCGGCCGCCCGACGATGCTCGGCCCATGCCCCGCGAGGTTTTCTCTCGCAGGAGATTGCCTGGTGCATGCATCGCGCTCTGGCGGCTGCCGAATATGAACATCTCGGCACGCCTCTCAAGCGCGCATATTAGAATACTCTCATGGGCGAAGCTGCACGGTACGCGCGCAACACGTTCACAGTGCACAAGCCGCAGTCTCTCGATGCCAAATTCATAGCTATACGAACGTGTGCTCGTGCTGTCTCTCGGCAAGACGTCCGACTTGCCGAACGCCTCTATCAGTCTCGCCATCTCGCCCGTGAGCATCTTGTCGTTGACGCGGATGCCGGCGCGGTCGATCCCGTCTCGCCGGCGGGCTTCGCCGCGCTGCCCGACTCGCCGCGCGCTGAAGTTCCCCAGCGTTGTCGGCAGCATGTCCAAGCGAGCCTCGATTCAGCCGGGGAGGAACGGCGCCGGGCTCGATTCCGAGGACGGGCAGAGAAGATGAGGGAAGCCGCTCAAGTTCGGCCCCCTTTTCGACAAGCGCGTCTGAATTGCCAGCTTGCCAGCGTTCGGATCCAGGGGCAAGTTTTGTAAGAACCCACCCAAGTCCTCGAAGCGCTTTCTTCTCATTGGGGCTACACTCTTACGGGCAAGCCGTTCGAAGCGGAGCAAGCTCCCGCCCGCCCTCGTGAGTTCGCTCCCCAAGTGTCGCGCCAGGACCCCCCCCCCTCCCGCCATTTCCCAGGTGGAAAGCTACCTTCGGGGGCAGTCTGACTCTGATCCTGGGCCCGATCGTTTCAGATGCGCTGCGTGGCAGCATGTTCCGCTAGGCGCTCTGTCTTGTTCTATGGCCCTTAGCGGATCTTGAGCGGCTACGCTCTCGCCTGCAACTTGAACGAGCTGCTGGGAGTGCGCATTCCCGAGGGCACGGATGCACCGGACCTCTTGGTTTTAAAATAGTGTTACTGAGTGTAGTTAGACGCCCGCGCGAGGGTCTACTCTATGGGACCGAAGCCACCCTTTCTCTGCTGATGGGTTTCGACTTCGGCCAAGCGTTACCCCCAGCCTGTGCCAGCGCTGGCTGGTGTTCGTGCTTGACGTCCTCGGTCTTCCTCTTCCTCTTCGGTGATTCCTCCATGTGATTTGCGGGAGCGTTTCGTGCCGAGGCAAAGTCGGGGCACTGTTCGCTTCGTGAATGACATCGCCGCTGGTCTTATCCAGGGGTGCCCAGCCTCAGGTTTGCTTTTTCAGCCTTGCGCTCGACACGTTCCTCCAGGATCTTCGGGCCGTGGTCGACGCCGCGCGTCGTGGTCGCGCTCTTGCATGTGCTGATGACATCGGCATGGCTCTGAAGTGCATCTCGGCCTTTAGCTAGGCCGCGGCAGTTCTACGCGAGGCCAAGGTTCTGGCGCACTTATGCCTTGAGATCCCGAAGCGCCACACTGTCCCGCTCACTGGCTCCGCCACCCCAAGAGCTATGCTTGATGTCATTCTTGGCTCACTACGCACCTTCGGATCTGGTCCTCGATGGGGATTTCGGGTAAGCCGAAGGTTTTCGGCATGTTCCTCGGGCCAGATGTAGAATGGGACTCGTGGCGCGCGCCGCTCTGCAAGTGCCGAACTCGCCGTGCCATGATAGCCGCTGGGGGCTCTGTCACTCAAGCCACCTCTCTCTCTCTTATATCGTCGTCGTGCCGTCGCGGTCCTCTCTCACGTTGCCCAGTTCATGATGATCCCCCCTCCCCACCGCCGCAAAGCAGAGTGCGAGCAGCTTGCCCGTCTGTTCAAGACGCTGTTTCGTTGCTGGTCAAACGCGGATTGGTACCGAGTGAATGACGGGGCGTCACTGATACGTAAATGCACCCTCCCCCTGCTGGCGCGAATGCGTGGGGATTTTGGAAGAGACTGCTTGGGCGGAACTCCCGATCGCTACCATCCTTGCAGGCAACCGTGGCCAGGAGGGCGGGCGCCACTGGTGCCATAGGTTTTGGAAATATCGCCCGTTCGCTCAAAACCGCCAGTGGGCTGATATAGGTTTTCAGGAAACCCCGTCTTTCAGGATCCCTGGTGGGGCCGCCCTCCGTGCCTTGCGTGATCATGGGGCTGCAGGCCCCCTCTTTGTCCGCAGGGCCCTTCGTCCTCAGCGCATTCTCTACAGGTCTCTTCTGCGCAACCACTTCCCCGGCAACCTCATGTCTACCTTCGCTGCCCGCGTTCGTCGTGGGTGTCCTGAGTCTCTGCGGGAAATTAAGACGATTGGCTGGGATCGACGCCGTGCCGTGATTCTCTCTCTTCCTCCTTCCTGGCGCGCTGCTGTGGCCAGAATTTTCGCCGCTGCGTGGGTCGCGGACAGTGGATTTCAGTGGCCGGTGCCGCGCGTGCCTGGGTGCTCTGAATGTGCAGACATATTCTGGCACCATTGGAAGTGCCCTCGTTTCTTCAGGCTCCCCGCATAAGTTTTTGGACACCTCGACCACTGCCCCCTCGCTCGTCTCGGAATCCCCGCCCCCTCTCGCGCTAATTTTGCGATCCCAGTCTCGGCCGATTATCGGTCCGATGGTCTGCGCCCTCTGGTCTCTTCATCCACGCCAGTGATCCCGCCAGATGCGCAGTCGTGCGCCCTCAGGGCGGTTCGATTTCAGGTCGCCCGCCCCGCGCGTGGCGGTCGCTGTTCCCGATGGCCAGCAGGGCCGCCCTTGGCCGCGCCCGAGGGCGGGGGGGCGGTGAGGAGGAGGAGAAGGAGGAGGACGACGAGGAGGAGGAGAAACGGCCCGCGTTTCCTTGAAAGACCTTCGGGAGTTCTCAGACATGCTGGACACTCTTCATTTTCAGGATGCCGAACGCGAGCAACAGCATGCCAGAGAGCAGCTGAAGCCCGCGAAGGCGGAACCCACCCGATCCAAGCTCAGACAGCGTCTGCGGAGGCTTGTTCGCAGAGGACGACTCTGGGCGCCTTTTGACCGACGCTTGCAGTTGATTGGGGTTCGCTCGGGCACCCGGTTGTTGACCGCGCAGAGCGAGATGCAAAATGAGATCTCCACCCATTGGGGCCAGGTATTTTCTCCGAAAGAAGTCAATAGCTCTGCTGGTCGTGATTATCTTGCTCAGTGGTGTACGCAATTTGATCTGCATGATGTTCCTTCTCCCTTCTATCATGACATGGGACAGTATATAGCCAGACTCTCAGATTCTGCCCCTGGTCCTGACTCTTTACCTTATAGCGCCTACAAGTCTGCCCCGTACTCGTGCTCAGTGCTCTTCGAGGCTCTATGGTGGATCCTGAGTGGGAGCCCCATGGGCCGTGATTTCAACGCTTTATTAATGGTTTTCATTCCGAAGGGTGAAGAACAACGGGATTTCCAAACTAAATGCTTTCGAAAGACTGCTGGATTGCGGCCGCTGGGGCTCAACGGCACGGACAACAAAATCATCGCGGCCGTCGTTTTCTTTCAGATCAGCAAAATCATGCCGTCGTTTGCTGCTGAAATGCAAGGTGGATTCATTCGCTCCCGATATTTTGGAAACGACATCGCTGAGCTCGACGGGTATAACAGAGTTTTTTCGATGTCGCCATCGGCTCTTATTGATCTTCCAGCTCTTGTATCTTTTGACTTCGGTCAGGCCTTTCCCAGCCTGAGCCACGCATGGCTTCGCCAAGTGCTGGGTTCCATGCTTGTGCCAGATCCTCTTCG